TGTGGGAAGATATAATTTACACATGAATAACTCATTTTTAATGTATTTCTATTGAACATTTTATGGACATTGATGTATAAAGGTGTCTGATTAATTTTATGGAAGGGATTAAAAGTCTCATTTGAGAGGTTGAGGGTGATGTCTAAAAAATTGAGGTTGGAAGATATCTCAATCTTAAGGTCTAGGCATTGGAAGGCTCTATTAATCCTCTATATATATTGTCGTATCTATCTATCTATCTATCTATCTATCTATCTATCTATCTATCTATGTCAATATTTATATATCTATATCTATCTGTCTATCTATCTATCGCTGTCTGTCAACATCTATCTATCTATCTGTGTGTGTGTGTATAAATATGGTGGTATCTATCTATCTATCTATCTATCTATCTATCTATCTATCTATCTATCTATGTCTGTCAATATTTATATATATATATATCTGTCTATCTATCGCTGTCTGTCAATATTTATCGATCTATCGCTGTCTGTCAATATCTATCTATCTATCTATCTATCTATCTATCTATCTATCTATCTATCTATCTATCTGCGTGTAGGTTTTACTTAGCCTTGACATAGTATTAAATACATATTGTCTCTACGAGATGAATATTTCGTATTTCTGCGTGTTTTACTCAATATTCCTTCTTCATCCAAGATGTCATCTTATTTCGTTATTCTTGGCCTGAAAACAGTTTCATCATTTCTCAAGCGTATGTAAATTTTTGCTCGGTAAGAGCGAATCAGTGAAGTGTAGAACAAAACAAAACAAAAAAATAATAATAGTAAAATAAAAAAGAGTAAAGAAGAGAAGGAAAGTAAAATCGAAGCAAGGAGAAAGGGACAGAAAGAAATAAAAAGTAAAAACATTAGAAGAAAAGACAAAGAAAGAAGGAAAAAATAAAAGGGATAAAAAAAGGAAAAAGATTGAAATAAAAGAAAAAAAGAAAGAAAAAAAAAAGAAAGAAAGAAAAAAAAAAAGAAAGAAAAAAGTTAGAAAGAATAGAAATAAGAAAAGTAAAAAAAGATGGAAATGGAAAAAGAATATAAGAGAAATTGTTGTGGTAACATCCACCTAATTTGCATAGTGGAGTACCGACCATATAAATATGGTTGGTACCGGGGAAGAGGGGAATCAAGAGATTCAACCAGAGACTCTGCCCGACTGCGACTCAGTCAACACATTCTCCAGGAACGGTCTTACCAGGAATATACAAAAGACTATATGTAAATATTGTGTACACTTTCTTGTTTCAATACATTTTGTTCTAAGTACATTTTGTGTTGCATTATTATTTCATGCATTAGTCAAGTTTCAACAGAAATAAAAGAATTAAAGAAAAAGGCTAAGAGAATAAATAAGTAAATAAATAAATAAGTACAGAAAGAAAGAAAAAAGAATGAATAGACAGAACAAAACTATTAAAGAAATGAAAAAACATAAAGAATGAAAGTTAGCATATATTAAAATAAGAAAAGAAAGAAAGAATAAAAAAAAAAAGAAATGAAAGGAAGGAGAAAAATATAAAAATGGAAAAGAAAAGAAAAAAAGAATAAAAAGAATAAAAGAAATCAATAAAAATAGTAAAAGAGAAAGAGAAGACCAGAACAGAGCAGAATAGATGGAGTAAAAGAAAGAAAGAATAGTGAGAAAATGATAAAAGGAATAAAAAAACAGTAGAGAGAAAGAGAGGAAATGAATAGAAGGTGACAAATAAACGAAGAAAAGTAAAATGGCGAAAAGAGGATAGAAGGTGAGAAATAAAGATAAAATGATAGAAGGAGAGAAAAAGTGAGAGTGAGAGTGAAAAATGAAAAAGGCAAAGAATAAAAGAATGGAAGATACGGAATGAGACGAAGAAGCAAAAGAACAAAGAAGATAAGAGTGGGAAATAAAATAGAAGGAAAGAAATGATTAATCAAAGACACAAGAAGAACGAATAGAACCAAAAACGGATTAAAAGAAAGAAAGAAAGAGAGTAAATAGAAATGGGGAGAGAACCAGACTGATAAGACATAGCGAAAAGACAGAAGGAAAATGAACCGAAATAGAAGAGAAAAAAGGCCAAAAGAAAGTAAAAGTAAGTCTGAAGAAGGGAAGAAGAAGAAGAAAAGAAGAAGAAGAAGAAGAAGCTAAAAAGAAGAAAAGAAGAAAAAACAAAAAGAACAAAAAGAAAGATAGAATAAAAAAAGAAACGAAAAAAAAAAAGTAAAAAGAAGGAAGAAGAAGAAAAAACAGAAGAAGAAAGGATGAAAAAAATTGTAAAAAAAATTTTAATAAAAAAAAGAAGAAGAAAAAAAAAAAAATAAGAAGAAAATGAAAACAGAAAGATGAAGAAAAAAAGAAGAAAGATTCAAAAAAAGAAAAAAAGAAAAAGAAAGAGATGAAAAAATGAAAAAAAAGAAGAAGAAGAAGAAGAAGAAAAGAAAGAAGAAAAAAAACGAAGGAGAAAAAAGAAAGGGAAAAGATGTAGAAAATTTCAAAAAGATTCAAAAAAGGAAGAGGAAAAAGAAAAAAGGAGATGCAAAAAAAAGAAAAAAAAGAAAAAAGAAGATGAAGAAGAAGAAAAAGAAAAAAAAAAGGAGAAAAAAAGAAAGGAAAAAGATGTAGAATGATAGATCTAAAAAGATTCAAAAAGAGGAAAAAGAAGAAGAAGAAGAAGAGATGCAAAAAAAAAGAAAAAAGAAGAAAAAGAAGAAGAAAAAAATGAAGGAGAAAAAAGAAGAAGGAAAAAAAATGATAGATCTAAAAGATTCAAAAAGAGGAAAAAAAAAAGAAGAAGAAAGAGATGAAAAAAAAAAAGAAAAGAAGAAGAAGAAGAAAAACAAAAAGCGAAGGAGAAAAAAGAAGAGAGGAAAAAGATGTAGAAAATAGATCTAAAGATTCAAAAGAGGAGAAAGAAGAAAGAAAGAAGAAAAGAGATGCAAAAAAAGGAAGAAGAAGAAGAAGAAAAAAAAAAAGAAGAAGAAGAAGAAAGAAAAAAGAAAATGAAAGCAAAAGGAAAAAGAAGAAAAAGAAGAAGGAAAAAGATGAAAAAAAAAAAAAGAAGAAGAAGAAGAAGAAAAAAAAAAAAGCGAAGGGAAAAAAAAAAGGAAAAGATGTAGAATGATAGATCTAAAAGATTCAAAAAGAGGAAAAAGAAAAGAAAAAAAAAAAGAAGAAGAAGATGCAAAAAAAGGAAGAAGAAGAAGAAGAAAAAAGAAGAAGAATCTAAAGATTCAAAAAGAAAAAGAAGAAAAAAATGAAAAAAAAAAGGAAGAAGAAAAGAAGAAGAAAAAAGAAAAAAGAAGAGAGGAAAAAGATGTAGAATGATAGATCTAAAAGATTCAAAAGAAAAAGATTCAAAAAAGAAAAAAAGAATGAAAAAAAAAAAGAAGGAGAAAAAAAAAAAAAGGCGAAGATGAAAAAAAAGAAGAGAGAAAAAAAAAAAAAGAGAAGAAGAAAAAACAAAAAGAAGATTCAAAAAGAGGAAAAGAAGAAGAAGAAAAAAAAAACGAAAGAAGAAAAAGGAAGAAAAGAAAAAACAAAAGCGAAGGAGAGAGAAAAAAAGATGTAGAATGATAGATCTAAAAGATTCAAAAAAGATTCAAAAGAAGAAGAAAGAATGAAAAAAAGAAGAAGAAAGAAGATGAAAAAAAAAAAAGGAAGGAGAAAAAAGAAGAAGAAAAAGAAGAATGAATCTAAAATTCAAAAAGAAAAAGAAGAAGAAAAAAAAAAGAAAAAAAAGGAAAAAGATGAAGAACAAAAAGTAAAAAAAAAAAAAGATTCAAAAAAAAAAAGAAAGGATGCAAAAAAGAAGAAGAAGAAAAAAGAAAAAAAAAAGAGAAAAAAAGAAGAAGAAGAAGATGAAAAAAAAGAAAAAGAAGAAAAAAGAAGAAGAAGAAAGAAAAAAAAAAAAGCGAAGGAGAAAAAGAAGAGAGGAAAAAGATGTAGAATGATAGATCTAAAAGATTCAAAAAAAGGAAAAAAAAAAAGAAGAAGAAAAAAAAAAGAAGAAAAGAAGAAAAATGAAGAAAAAAAAAGAAAAAAGATGTAGAAATCTAAAAGATTCAAAAAGAAAAAGAAGAAGAAAAAAATGAAAAAAAAAAAGCGAAGGAGAAAAACAAAAAAAAGAAAAAAAAGAAGAGAGGAAAAAGATGTAGAATGATAGATCTAAAAGATTCAAAAAGAGGAAAAAAAAAAGAAGAAGATGAAAAAAAAGGAAGAAGAAGAAGAAAGATGAAGAAAAAAAAAGAAGAAGAAAAAAGAGAAAAGAAGAAGAAGAAAAACAAAAAAAAAGAGGAAGAAAGAAGAAGAAGAAAAAAAGCGAAGGAAGAAAAAAGAAAAACAAAAAGAGAGGAAAAAGATGTAGAATGATAGATCTAAAAGATTCAAAAAAGAGGAAAAAGAAGAAGAAAAAAAAGAAGAAAAAAAAGAAGAAAAGAAGAAGAAGAAGAAGAAAACAAAAAGCGAAGGAAAAAAAAAGAAGAGAGGAAAAAAGATGTAGAAAAGATCTAAAAGATTCAAAAGAGGAAAAAAAAAGAAGAAGAAGAAAGAGATGAAAAAAGATGAAGAAGAAGAAGAAGAAGAAGAAGATTCAAAAGCGAAGGAGAAAAAAAGAGAGGAAAAAGAAGAAAGAGATGATCTAAAATTCAAAAAAAAAAGAAGAAGAAGAAAGATGAAAAAAGAAGAAAAAAAAAAAGAAGAAAAGAAAAAAAAAAGAAAAAAAAAGAAGAGAGAAAAAGATGTAGAATGATAGATCTAAAGACAAAAAAAAGAGGAAAAAAGGAAAAAAAATGAAGAAGAAGAAGAAAAGAAGAAAAAAAAAAAGAAGGAAAAAGAAAGATTCAAAAAAAAAAAAAGAAGAAGAATAAAAAAAGAATTCAAAAAAAACAAAAGAGAAAAAAGAAGAAAAAAAAGAAGAAGAGAAAAAAAAAAAGAAGAAAAAAAAAAAGGAAAAACAAAAAAAGAAGAAAAAGAAAAAAAAGAAGAATGAAAGAAGAAGAAAAGAT